GACTATCACTACCCAAGTATTATCTATGTAGTATTCTCTCAAATGGGTTGACTGACAATTTGTTGCTTCAGCTTCTTGCTTCAACACCGACAGTGATGCCTTTGCACCTTCATTATGATAATGACAACCCAAATTCAGTCTTGAGCTGGTTGGAGCGTTGGTCGATCTCCCGTTTTTGGAAACCAGCTCCAAGACCAAAGAAAACTTCTGATTCAAAATCTCAGAGGAAGCATGGTAATGAGCAGACTGTTGAGACTGAAACTGGCAGCAGACCAAAACGGAGTGTGAGGAAAGTCCCTGCTGCAAATATCGACAGTTCCTCAGCTCAACCAACCAATGAATTTGAGAAACCCAAACGCAACATTCGGAAAGTTTCAAGTAATCCAGCAGATACAATGCAGGAAAATCCACAAAGTGAGCTTGAAAAGGTAAAGCGGAACTTGAGAAAAGTTCATAATCCAGTAGTAGAGAATTCTGTCCAGCAAGAAGTTGAATTTGAGAAGCCAAAGCTCAATGTTGAAAAGGTACCGACCAGTTCAGGTCATGAAATTTTGGAACAGGGCCTGAATTATTTAGGTGAACAGAGTGTTAACTCTTTGAGTGAGAAGATCAAGAATGAGACAGCCTTGAAAGTGGTCAAGCAGCCTGAGGCTGAAATTTCCCAAGCACCATTAGAAATGACTGAGACATTGGATTTGTCATCTATTGTTGAGCCTGTAGATGAGTCAAAGCCTTTGGTTGAGAGCGAGAATAAAGATGAGAATAGTCCAAAAACAAATGGGGAACTGAACCATAAGGAGGATATGATCGGCAATGAGAATCAAAAAACAAGCAGAAAAGCTTCAGTTGCTGCAAAGCAAGAACGAGCAGAAAATGGGATTCAGAATAGTCCTACACTCCCAAGCTATATGCAAGCAACTGAATCAGCGAAGGCAAAGCTGAGACTGCAAGGTTCCCCAAGATCTGCACCCCAAGAAGGGACTGAGAAAAATAATGTTGCTCGACGACATTCTCTACCTTCATCAACTAACAGCAAAATCAGCTCCCAGTCACCAAGGACACAGAGAGTGGTACATGCAGCTGGAAAAGGTGGGAGTAAAGGTGAAAGGGCCACGTTAGCATCGCGAGATGGAAACGGTAGGGAACAGTGCAATCACTAAAAGTATTTTTTCTTTGTTATGATAGACCTGCATAGGATGCCATTTTTTCTGTAGATTCCTAATAATATTTTGAGTCCTTTTTCTTTTCCATGTTGATTTAGCCTCAACTGCTCCATTTCTATGGTATTGTGTGATTCCCTACCTTGACAAAATAATCATATCATTGCAAGGAAAGAACTTGAGCTTAATTAGGATAGCCAATAGACCTGTTTCGTGACAAATGTATTATCTTTTCCAACTCGACCCCTTAATTGCCATGAATGAGCATTAGGGCTATAATATTTAATTCTTTTTTGGCTATCTTCATTTGACAGTAACTGATTAACATTTTTGATTTTGCAGCTAAGGTGACCCAAGTAGAATGGAGAAGGTGATTTCCCGGAAGTCTAAAGAAGTTAGTGAAAAGGGGTAACTCATATCTGTAGTCTATTGTTCTTTAATGCACCTGTTTTTTTTTTTTTTTTTTTTTTTTAAAGATTATCCTTTGTTTAAACCAAGTAAACTTGAGTCCGTAAATGCAGGTGTGTGGTGGCAAAAAGCCTTGTCACTTTTCTACATTTGGTGGTGTTTGTTGAGTGAATGTACATCATAGGTTCTAAAGATTCATTTTGTGATAACCATATGTTAATTTTAAATAGTGGTTGATTTCTACGTTATTTATTTATGGCTGTTCGCTATGTAACAATTGTATAGAACTTGAGGTTTGTAGTTGTTCGTATTATTTTTGTTCTAGGATTTGATTAATTCATGGACTATAGTGGTTGAAGCGGTGAATTTATTGTTGGTTTGCCCGTGAGGTTTGGTTCCCCACGTGTTTCTTTTATGGTATGGTTTTAGTTTTCGGACTACGTGAAAAATGTGGTTGGCTTTTTCCTTGATCTTGGACTTCTAACATTTTTCAATGAAATTTTTGACAGAAATAACAACAAAGCAAAAGACTCTGTCTCTTATTTGGGTAATTCGAATGTAACTTGGATATTTTAGAACCTCTAAATGACACAAGGCTGGTTGTGTTTATGCTTGTGTACTTATAACTGGGTTTGTTTTCAAAAATAAAATTTTATTTTATTTTTTATGATTACATTTTTCTTACATGTTTGCACAATGTGTTACAGACTTTTAGTTTTGTACTCTACCTGTGTAAAGTCCATTTTGTTTTGATTATATTTTTAGATATATATTAATTATTTAATATATAGAATTTAGTTATAATTTATGTATGTAATTGATTTAATTTCACTGTAATAAATTCATATTTAGATAGTAAAGTTATATATAGTACACGATACTTAATTAAAATTTTAATTGCAAATAATTTTCATTTTAGGAAAATTTTTTAACTAGATAATTGATGAGTACGTTACTTTTATTTTCTTGAATAAATTTATGTATTTATTAATTAACATGTGTATACCAATTATAAAATAATAAAAATAATTTTCAGTTAAAAACATAAAATAATAGAAATAATTTTCAGTCAGAAATCATAAGTGATGGTTGGTATATACATATATATATTATTTAATTTGATTTAATCGTTAAAATAAAATTTAACTTTAGAAAAGAGATTTTATTTTGTTGTTTTGGATTAATTAACTCATGATGATTTAATGATAGATAAAATATTTTATTTTATATTATGTTTCATATATTAACCATCTTTGCCTAAAAAAAAAACTAGAAGGAAAATTGCCAAAATAAATTGAAGGAATTTTGCAGAGATCAAAACGATCAATGATGAAGACCATATCCAAGCGCATAATAAAGTTTGCATCAAAGGGGACAGATGAAAACTCTATAATAAGAATGACCGTGAGAAGGGATAGACATGGTGACCTCAATATTTCTTGTTAAAGTAAAATCAGGGTAAAAATAATCTATAATTCTATTGAAACATAACGAAGGCGAGAGAAAAGTAAAACCTATATGCTTCAATTAATCTACAAGGAAGTATATCTTCGAGACATGGAACCGGTGCTAGTAATCAGAGCAGAGTCAATAACAATTCCACGAACTAATCCTCTCTCCCTCCGGCTCCTGCCTAATGAATTTCCACGCGAAAGAGTGGGAGGATCCATTGAAACATTAGAAGGTATTTGCATTTCAGAAGAGTGACCTGAAATGCAGAGGCCTCCAGTATCATCCTGTTCCCAATATACTTCAACCATAATACCTCTGGGATTATCTTCAGATTCTGTTCCTGGAATCCCCACAAACCTGGCTCCTACAGGTATCTGCATTGTCATTTCAAAAAGATGAATGAAGGAGAACAATGAGAATTGCAGTTAACTTTTTGCTCTAATTTGACAGTTGATTGCACATTCACGGCAAACCAAAATATATTTTATTAACCTGCACCGATGCACCAGATGTTAAGCTCAAAGTGACCATGGTTCCATCAATTGCAGCACTCTCAAGCTCGGCCTGTCTTGCAATATTCAAAAAGACTTCTTCAAGGGTCGCAAGACCAAGCTGAATATCTGTTATACCAAATTCAGTTTCTCTATCTTGTAACTCGGCAAAAAACTCCTGTTCGAGATTATAACTTCCATCAGAATGAGGAGCACAAGACAGGCTAAACAGAAAATACACTAATGTTATGTTGCATCTTATTATGTTCATGATTGTACTATATATTTTAAATTTCAAACTTGAACTGCCGCATACTGAGTAGTTTCACCGATTATTCCATTTGAAAGGAATTAGATTGGTCAAACCAAAGATGAAATTATTAAATATGAAGTTAATATGAGAAGAAAAAAGAACCAAGACATGCAAGAATCCTTACTGTCAAAAGCTTCACTCTATCATGTGGAATGACAAAAGTCAAGAATGATTTATTCTCCTCCTCTGGAACTACATTCAATTTCTGGCAAAAACATTACTGAACTTAGCAATCAACTTATTGAAAGTCAATTTTAACGCCAATTGTTTACTTGTTCAACATACTTGTTTAAAGAATTGCTTCACTGCATCTTGATTTACTGTACCAACTGCTTCTCCACTGACAGGACTTTGTACATTATTGCTTGTACTGAAGCTAACATTAACAACGAAACCGGTACCAAATCGTGACTT